TGAAAATGAAAGTTCAAAATCGGCAGAGCATGAACGCTTTCTAGCGTTCTTCGCTCCTCATCATGGTTCTCTGATCTTGAGTCTCACGGCTTCCTATTCTCTCCTTAATATGTGTTTTTAAGAAAAGCTTCTACAGCCCACCCTCAGCATTTCAGATGACTTCAACAGTCTGCTTGATGAGTTACAAGAGTCTAGACATCCCGTCCTTCCTTCCCGAGTCGTTTTTGCTATCTTATATTTTTATTATTTCATCAAAATGTTCACATTTATTGGCATGAAGTTGTTCATGATGTTCCTTTTATCTGTTTGGTCTTCGCCATATCTGACATTTGCCAAGCCTCCTTTTTCGTCCTTAATTGGTTTTACTGCGGCTTTATCTCTTGTTGTTCTTGGACAGCCTCTTTCAGACATTGTCTATGTTATTGCTTTTTATCAAAAAAAAATTAACAGAATCTTCTTTCTGTTTCACTGTGTCTTGAACTTTGGTTCATATTTTTCTACTTTCTAAGAGAGTTTCTTTGTCTTTCTTTCCCTCACTTCTTAAATAGGATGAATTCAGCAAATTTCAAGCTTTGTTTTTTAAAATAAAAAACAAATTAACTCTCTAACTGAATTTTATTCAGAGACGTCTACTAGCTATCCACTCTGATGTTCCTTTGTAAATATCTCATTTTATGTATGTTGACTTCCCATTGTATTCATGTTTGTTTTTAATTTTGTGAGAAGTTAAGATGGCTACTGTGAATGGAGACTGCATTTCCGTTTCCTGGCCGCCCAGACCTGAATATTTGCACAGAAACTATATTAATTACCACACTGTTTGGCCAATGGCTTAGGACTATTTCTAGCTAGCTTTTATCATCTCAAATTAACCTATTTTTATTAATCTGTGTATCACCACGAGGCTGTGGCTTACTGGTAACATTCTGGCATTTTTCTCCCTCAGTGGCTACATGGTGTCATCTCTCTCTCTCTCCCTCTCTCTTTCCCTCTCTCTCTCTCTCTCTCTCTCTCTCTCTCTCTCTCTCTCTTCAGATTTCATGCCTGACTTTACTCTGCTAAGCCATTGGCAGAAACAGCTTTATCCATCAACCAATAAAAGCAACACATATACAAAAGGACGTCCCATATCAGGTTACTAATTTATTTTTTAATTTCATGTGCATTGGTGCCCTGTCTGCATATATGACTGTGAACCACATGTGTGTAGTGCCTTCAGAGACCAGAAGACAGCCCTGGATCCCCTAGTTACAGATACTTGTGAGTTGCCATGTGGGTGCTGGAACCACACCCATCCTCTAGAAGGGTAACAAGTGTCCTTAACCATTGACTCATCTCTCCAGACCCTGGCTAGTAGATTTTATGCTAGAATTTTCCTGGATTTCTACCTCCCCAAATATCTTGTTCTCAAATCTTAGTCTCAAATGATTCTCATGTCTCAGTCTCCCAAGCAGCTGGACTACAGGTGTATCACTATACCTGACTTCTTTTTCAATTTTCCCCATCTTCCTATTCTTTTGTAGTATGTCTGTATACATATGTGTGTGCTGCTGAATGTATATCTGTGTTTGTTCATGCGTGTGTGTGTGTGTGTGTGTGTGTGTGTGTATAAGTAGTAGTAGTAGTAGTAGTAGTAGTAGTAGTAGTAGTAGTAGTAGTAGTAGTAATAGCCAGGGGACAACCTCTACGTCATGATTCTTCAGGTCTCTCATGACTTGCAGTTTGACAATTAGGCTAGGCTGACTAACTCCGAAACCACCCTTGGACATACCTCTTTCTACAGACCCAGCCCAGGAATCACAGGTGTGGGTCACTATGCCTGGCTTTTTAATATGTTGTAGGAGACTCTAACTTAGGAACCTATGCTTGTGTGGCAAGAGCTTTATTGACTAAATTTATGCCCACTGACCTAAATATTTCTGTTCTTGAATATACCAAATTTGAAGGTGATAAAATTCTTTTTCTGTTTACTCATTTATCTAATCCACAGAATAATCTTTCAACTTATGAGCTGGCTTGGCAGGTAAAGACTCTTGCCACCAAACTTGGTCACTAGAGTTTGATCTCCAGAAACCATTTTATCCAAAAAGAGAACCAGTTCCTGAAAGTTGTCCTCTGACTTCACACTCACACCTTGCACAAGGACTCTTAAATGCATATCTGCACACATACATATCACTCCACAAGTACTTTTAAATGTACATCTACACACACACATACACACCACGGCACAAGTACTCTTAAATGTATGCACACATACACATGAGTGCAAGCACTCACGTCTAGTAGAATATAGTTGGATTATTTAAATTCATCACAGTTATACTTTCTGTGGGACAGGACTATTTACTCCATTGACTCACATTATGATTGCAGGAATTTACAAGTTATTTCTAATTTCTGTTTATTTATAACTTATTTCTGTTTGTCCTATTCTGTCTATTTTATCCATTCTTGTCTCCGGTACATTTCCGTATTCATTTCATTTGTTTGTCTTTTTCTTCCTTCTACTGAAGGGATTTTGTGCACTGTTGTATTCCCCTGTGGGTAGTAATGCTTGAGTTTGCTTATTTAACAAGACATGAAATTAGCCCTCCCCACAAAGCACAAGACCTAAGGACTCTTCTATCAACCTCCATTTCCTCCAACATAATTGCATTGCTCAGGATGTGTAACTAAACTTCTAGTTTAGAAATAAAGTGGGTAATTTCCCCACCACTAGAGGGTAAAATGCATCTTCAAGATAATTTTCTATGTATTTTAAAGTAATTTTGGAACTAAGAACAGTAGTGTATGCATTTAATCCCAGCATCTGGAAAGCAGAGACAGGTGGATCTCTGTGTGTTCAAGGCCAGCCTGGTCTACAGAGCAAGTTTCAGAACAGTCAGAGACCCTGTCTCTGGGAGGAAGGAAGGAATTTTAGAATTTAACTTTGGTTATTCATTTAATTTATAAAAATGTTCAACTGTATTTTTTAGTTTAGCAACATGTATTTACTTCCTTGCCCTTCTGAAATTCAATTAAGTTAACAAAATCAATAAAACATAAAAATTACAAATCAGGCATGATAGTTCATAAGTAGAACCCAGCACTGGAAGGCAGAGAAGTAGAAGGGTTAGGAATTCTGGGTTATCCTTGGTTACATAGTAAATTTGAGGTAACCCTGAGCTACATAAGACTCTGTCCCCCCCCTAAAAAAAAAATGAACAAAAGAGCTAATGCTTGCATTCATTTCTGAACAAACTCACATCCAGTCATGTGCATACTTGCAGTTGGTTAATTAAATCACATGTCAAAACTTCTCAATAAATAAATAAAGCTGTTAAACAAATATAGTGAGACCCTAACCACTGAATCTGTGGCTGGAACCTAACTTGGAAACAGGAACTTTGGAACTGGAATGAAATCTTCAGGTGAGATCACCCTGAAGTACAGGGTAGGTCCTCAAGCCAAGGGCGTGTTTCCATAAGAAAAAAATCTTGGAGGAGGGGATGATGGAAAAAGATGCAGAGATAGAGGGAAAGAGACAAGAGTGATATAACACAAGCCAAAGAATGCCAAGCACTGCCAGGCAGCCAACAGAATGGAGAAGAAAAGCATGTAACATATTCTCTCCCACGCCGTATGAAAGGAACCAATCCTGCTGACACTTTGATTCCAAATTCCTGGCTTCCAGAATGATTAGAGAGCACATGCTCCATGATTTCCAAGTCACTAACCTGGTGATTTGTCATAACCACCTTAGGGAAACAGCCCAAGGAGCAACTTGAACATAGAGTGGAAAGACAAAGCCACTGTTGGTATATGCAAACAGGCACACAGAGCAATAGCAAATTAACAAGGATGTTCTGGCCTTTGTTTCTACAGCTCTTGTCTGGTGAGGCTGTAATTGATACCATGCCTCTTCATTTTATCATTCTGTATTTCCAATACCCTCAGCCAGAATTTCAGCTGCTAAAAATCCTTTGCCTGTGAAGTAACCCAAAATGTTTGGAAAGACCCAGGTCCTCAGATACCTTGTGTTTTATTTTAGGTCGTTGCCATTTTCCCTAATATTGGTGGCACTAAGATGATGGCCTTGGTCCAGATTGTCTTCTGGCCTCCACCACATAGAAACAAGCAAATTTCATCCTAAAACATTGGTATCTGTTACGCTGTGTAGTAGAATAGTTCCTGTTTAGCCTTTTGCGTTCATTGTGTAAAGAACCCAAAATAGCTGGGCGGCAGTCTCCCTGCTGTCATGTAATCAGTGTTGCATCACCTGATAGAAAGCACTCTCCCCCGGGCCTGTTTTCTGAACCTGCAGCAGCCAAAGCCAGGCAAAGAAGAAAATGAGGAGGTTATTAGATGGCACTGTAAGATAAGCCATTGTCAGGCCCGCGTCTTGATTCAAATATTGCTTTTTATGGGCGAGGCGGTGTGATGTGACCTGAAACCAGAATCCCATTTTTCCGAAGTACTATCTCCAGCTGGGATCATAACTCAGTTTTCCATAAGTCATTTCACCATTCACTTAAGCCAGCTGCTTCCCAGTGGTGTGTGTGGCCAACCCAATTAATTCCTTGCTATGAAATGAGTGGTCTGGTCAGAGGTAATGTGGACTGGAACACACTGATGCTAGTTAAGGCATCTTGTGAGCTCACAGATAGTGGAGCTGGCAGAAAGATTATGAGTAGTAAAAGCAAAACCGTTTCCAGAATATGTGATCATTCCAATCAGGGTGAATCTTTGTTCCTTCCATGATGGAAGAGATCCAGAATAATCAACCTGCCACCAGATGGCTAGCCCATCGCCCCTGGGAATGGTGCCATATTAGAGACTCAACGCTGTTCCCTGCTCTTGACAGATTAAGCACTTGGCAGTAGTGTTGCCAAGGTGACCCCTGCTAAGGGAAAGTCCATGTTGCTGAGCACATGTATAGCCTCCTTCCAGACAACTCTGCCCATTCTGCTTAATGGTCCTTTCGTTCAGCAGTGAGGTGGCTGGACAAAGACACTGACCGTCATCTGGCTAGTGTGCTCCTGTATCTCTGCCTGATGAGCAGTCTTCTCTGCGGTGGGCATTTGTAGTGTGAATTCAGCTGGAATAGAAATAGTTTTACAGTTTGTACCCGTTCAGAAAACCCCCGTATAACTCTTCCATGGACTTCCCTGACATCTGTTTCCCAGTCCTGTCTCATTCCTTCCAAACTGTTGACCTTCTAGACACACCATTAGCACCTGGTTTTGGCTCATTCCAGTTATCTGTCAGTCATGTTTGTGTTTGTGTTTGTTTGTCCTAGACAAGCTCTTGCTATGTTACCCAGGGTGGCCCTGACTCCTAGACTCAAGTGCTTCTCCTGCTGTAGGCTCTGTGAAGATGGCAGATGCATGCCATCGTGCCAGCTTTATCTTTCACTTTTGGCATACTGGACCAAACAAATACTGTTTCAGTTTTCTGACTTGGAGACTTCACCACTTGTCCATCAGACCCCTACAGAGGGCTGGGAATGTCACCTGGGATACCGCAGGTGGGTTCTAACAAGGTCTTCTTTCTCCACTACAGGATTCTATTCGGGAACATACTGTAAGAAGAACCCTTTATTATCATCAGCATTCTCAACCAACAGAAATCCAACCTTGTGGTAGCTACTACAAAAAGGGATTAGAAGGATCTAGGTCAGTAGTTCTCAACCTGTAGGTTGTGACCCCTTTGGTGTGGAATATCAGCTATCCTGCTTACCAGATATTTACATTATGATTTATAACAGTAGCAAAATTTCAGTTATGAAGTAGCAACAAAATAATTTTATGGTTGGTGGGGTCAGCACAAGATGAGGAACCTTATTAAAGGGTCACAGTACTGGGACGGCTGAGAACCACTGCTCTAGAGCCCTCTTTACCAAGTAGGAAGAAAAATGAATTTAGAATTGAGAGGCAACAAATGAATTTATGGCACAAAGTTCCTATCTAGTTGGCCAGATCGGGTCAGAAACCCACTTCTCTAATAATTAGGGAAGTTTTGTCTGATTGTTCATAGACTGGGAGCCAGAAGTGAGAAGGACTTCCTCAAAAGAAAGAGGAGCTCTCTTCCCAAAAGTAGAAAACTAAAAAAGATTCCAAAGAAAATGTGTTCCTGGGCTACTCAAATGGGTAAAGGCACTTGCTTCTAGACCTAACAGCCCAAATTCAATCCCAAGGATCTACATGGAAGGAAAGAACTGACTCACGAAAGGTATTCTCTCACTGTGTGCTGTGATGTAGGGGGTGTGTGCAGGCACGCTGGCTCATGCGCAAACTCACTCACTGACAGTTCTGCTCAGTGTCAGTCAGCTCTCCTGTGTGCCACCACAAACATGCCCCTCATCCTCAGTAGCAGAAAACTCATCCAGCTACCGAATTTAAGCTCAAATTCAGAAATCTTTGAACACCGTCCACTTTGATCGGCTTCAGTTGTGGCCAAATGATGAGTGATGAATTCATCGTCACTCTACAACTGTGTGTGTGATAAAGAAGATGGAAACAAATGAGGAAGAGCAGCACATGGCGGGATGACCACTGTAAACTCTTCCCAAACAAGAGGAAAGGAAGCAAGAGCTGCACATCTACAGCAGGACAAGATCTCCAGTCACCCACTCAGAGTTTCCTTGTGTCAGATTCTGTCTCAAAAACCCAGTAAGAATGTAACATAACTCATCTTTCTACTTGAAAGGTCTGAAACCTGGGGACATTGCCCTTGAAAAACGGACCACCTTCAGCAGCCTTTGCGCCCTTGAGAACTTTCTAGAAATGCCTTAGAACTTTCCATGGCTGTCAGTTAATGACATTTGAGGAACTCCATCAGCTTGTTACCAGAAATCTCAGAGACATGAATTTTGAGTCTGAATCTTCCCTTCTAGTTTCTATCTCTTGGAAACTAGCCAGTCTCCAGTGGCTCTTGTCATGGGCTCTCTGGGAGGTAGGAGAGGGGACATGCTGGTGTTATGAAGCTAGGGTATAGCATCGTACTCTAGTCTATATGTCGGTTCCCACTCAGCTGGTGTAATAGGAGGGGCTGTGTTTATGGTAAGCGGCATAGAGCACTTTGAGGTGGACTCCTGAGGAATGAGGGATCTCTGGCCCAACTACTCCCTGGTCTCCCCAATCATAGTTTACACTAACTTGATGGGAGACAAAAAGCCTAGTTGCTCTAATTGGCACAGTAGATACCTGATGCCACCAGTACAGATTAACTAGTCCACTGGCAAAAAGAACTGTGCCTAATGATATGATAATATTTCCATTCTATTGCCCGTCTCTTGCAGGATTACAGGAGGCGAGAAGAGCCTGCACATTCTAGTAGCCTCATTTTCAGATCTAAGTTCCTTACAGTAAGACTTACTGAGCATGACAGTCATCTTAAGATGTCTGTAGTAAAGAATACATTTTTGTAGTTTTTCTCTTACTTACTAAAACACTGTCTATAAGTGCTTTTATATGTACAAAATTGTGCTATTGTTTAAAATTTGACATGTCCCTTTATATTTCCATACTTATTTCATTGCTGACTGGAATGGCTTGTAGTGATTTTAGTCTATAAACTAATTACTCTTCTCAAGGCTGTAACAAAGCATCTGACAAAAGCAAGGGAAGAGGGGTTATTTGGGCTCGCTGTTTGAGGGCAAATCCTCTGATGATGGCACGAAATGATGACAGGAGTGTGAGGCAGCTAGTTGAAACCCAGAGTTGGGAAGCAGAGAGAGAAGGATGCCAGCAGTCAGCCAGCTCTCTCCCTTTAATTTAGTACAGGTACCCAGCATGTAGAATGGTGTCACCCACATTTTGAAGCAAGCTTTCTCATTTGTCTTTGTTTTGGGGCTGCCAGCCCCCAAATAATGACATGGAGACAATATGAAAGCTTGAACTTTAACTTAGGCTTGTTTCTAACTAGCTCTAATAATTTACAATTAACCTTTCCCTGTTAATCTACGTTTGGCCACATAGCTTTTTATCTCTCCTCCATTCTGTATGTCTGACTCCCTCCATGTCTCTCTGGTGTCTCCCTCCTCTCTTCTCCGCAGAGTTCCTTTCTCTCTGCCATAAGTCCCACCTAACCATTCCTGCCTAGTTACTGGCCATTCAGCTCTTTATTGAACCAATCAGGTGCCTTAGGCAGGCAAGGTAAAACTGTAGCATGAATTCTAACTGTTCTTAGTAATGAAAACCCGGAAACAGCAATCAGGGGTGGAAGCATAGCGGTCCAGATCAGAGGAGCATAGCGGTCAGCCACTAGAGTTCTTAGCTCTAGGGTGATCCTGTCCTCAGACTGCCTCCTCAAACCGACAGCTTCCTTAGACTGCTGTGGCAGACTGCTCCTCAGACTGCATCTGTCTCCACCAAACCTGACTGAAACTGAGCTCCTGTCTCCTCCCACCTTATATTCCTCTCTCTGTCCCACTATATTCTTTTCTAGTACTGGGATTAAAGGTGCGAGCCGCCACTGCCCAGATGTTTCTCTTTTAGACTGGATCAATTTTGTGTAGCTTAGGGTGGCCTTCAACTCACAGAGATCTGTCTGCCTCTGCCTCCTGAGTGCTGAGATTAAAGGTGTGTGCCACCACTGCCTGGCCTCTATGGCTAGCTAGTGACTTAGCTCTGAACTCTGATCTTCAGCAAGTTTATCTATGAGATTACAAACAAGATATCACTATTTACTCAAATATTCCATGGTGTGGAGGTCCTTCTGTCCACGTGTTGCTTTTATTGGTTAATGAATAAAGAAATTGCCTTGGCCTGTTGATAGGGCAGAACATAGGTAGGTGGAGAAAACTGGACTGAATGCTGGGAGAAGGAAGGCAGAGTGAGGGAAGCCATGGAGCCACCGGAGAGAGACGAGCTGAAACTTTGCTGGTAGGTCACAACCTCGTGGTGATGCACAGATTACTAGAAATGGGTTAAATTAAGATGCAGGAGTTAGCTAATAAGAGGTTAGAGCCAATGGGCCAAGCAGTGATTTAATTAATACAGTTTCTGTGTGATTATTTTGGGTCTAAGCTAGCCAGGCGGCTGGGAACCAAAAACCTAACTCCTCCAACAATTCCACAACAATATTTAGTGTCATTTAACCTTAGTTAACCCAATTAGAAACTCCCTCACAGGCAAGGACAGAGGTCTGTCTCCTAAGTGATTCTCAACCCTACCAAGAGGACAGCCACTATTAACCATCATGGTCTGTATTTACAGTTACAGGCATCTAACCAAAGAGCTTGCTAGCTTTTCTGGTCTAGAATGAATAGGGTACCACTCACTGTCCATCAGTCCTTGATTCAGTGAGAGCTACCCTTACAGCAATGGTTCTCAACCTGTGGGTCCCAACTCCTTTGTGAAACCTCTTTCCAATATGCCAAACATATTTCCAAACATATTACAATGCCTAACAACAAAATTATAGCTACGAAGTAGTTTTACGGTTAGGGTAACCATGACATAAGCTATATTAAAGGGTTGCCACATGAGGAGGGCTGAGCACACTGTTAAGACAATTGTAACTCTTCTCTTTAGGTGTCAGTATCTGTGTTAACGAAGGTACTTCGTCTAAAACGGGCTACAAATCGTGACTTCACACCCATCTTCTGAGCACATCAGATGATGGCACATTACAAGAGCAGAAACCATACTGGCTTGCTTCTTTGACGAGAGGGGAATTTCTTGGTCAGAAGGACAGTATATGGGGCAGCATGGCAGTACAGAAGTATTCCAGTTATTAATGTGAGATGGTCATATTAATTACTTTTGTCTGGGAGTACACGAAAGGGGGAAGGAAGATGATTTCAAAGGTGTCAGTCCATCATGGCCAGAGTGCCTGGTAGAAGAGTTCCCACCAACCTTCTACGAAGAAAAGTAGTAGAAGGAGCTAGAGCAAGATAAATACATCACCTAAAGACATAGCCAATGACCTACTTCTTGCAAACAGGCCTCACCTACCACCAAATAATGCTCTCATACCGTAAGAACCTATTGAGAGAGCAATCCATTTGTCGCTGGAGGTGCCATCAGAAATACTGTTAGCTTTACTAATCATCTAGGGTTAAGAATGATCCAATCAGGCTAACAATCAAAATCAGCACCACAGCTAATAGAACTAGCAGGGAGACGATCCCGGTCTACAAAGAGGCTCCTTGGTTATAATAAAAGGCGATTGAAAGTAACAGACCTGCTGCCTTCTGGGTATCCTGCTGGGCTCCTTGAAGGCAAGCATCTCAAAAAGACCTTAGAATCAGTCACCATTGTTGTAAAATTGCCTTCTAAGCAGGGACAGTAGTCCTTGGAAAAGAAGCGTTTTTCTGGTGCCATTTCCTTGGTAAATCATACCCTGTCACCCTCCAGCACAAAGTCTCACTTTCCCTAGCATTTGGAAGAAAATGCAAACTCCTGTCTGTAAGGCACAGATGGTTTCAGGTCTCAGCCCCCTCCAACTTTATCTCCAGCGGTTCCTTCCTAGCTGTGTTCGTTAGGCCCTGTTCCTTTTAACACGGCGGTTAGCCACACTTCAACACCCCTTTCCTTCTAGTCCCAGTCCCATCCCTTTGAGATCTGTCAAAATCCGTCTCCACAGGCATGGCTTTCTCACCCAGCTTCCTGTCCATTCTATTCCACACAAGATACAGCTATTCAATAATGCCCCAAAATAAATCAGTATGAGAACAGAAACAAATCTGTCCTACTGGGTTTTAAAATGTTCAAACGCTTTTGTGTGTGTACACTTAGGAGCAGGGAGAAAAGATAAACAGGCATCCTTGGCTACTGCTCAAATCATTAAATTCTCAAGTGGTTGTGTACTCCCAAATCCTCAGAAGTCAGCCCAAGTCATTTTCAAAAGGCCAAGTGGCCCCAGTCAAAGGCCAAACCATTTAGGAACACAACTCGCGTGGCCTTTTACAAAATCCAGGCTGCCCCGCTGGCCACCACCACTGGCCGAGGCCAGGCAGCGCGGGAGAGGGCCGGGCCGCGCGGCGGCGCTCCGAGGCCGTTAGGAGCCTCGCTCCGTGGGCAGCACCGCTCACGC